GCATTGGAGTTCGAATAACTGCAATTCAAACCTTGCCACCGATATAACTGAGGAGCACATGGATCTCCTTGCCAGCTTATCAGACTGTATGTCTTCTTGATGTTAATCATAGCAGAAACTAATCATCACATTCAAACACATTTCAGAAACAAGAAAAAAGGTTAAAAGTTCGATCAAAGAATGGCGTAAGAACACGGTTTACCTTCATCCTTGTCTGTCTCGAGCTGTGGCAAGTTCACAACTGTATATATCTCAAGGGCTTGAATAAGGGGAGGAAGTGTTGAGTTACCGGTCATTGTGAAAGTGAAATTAAATTCCCCATTTGAAGAAATCAAAGGGATTGGATTGAAGATGGTTATAATGCTGAGTTTACGAGGCCTAAACCAGCCGTACCAAAGGTTGACACTATTGTAAGTAATGCTGAATTCTCTGATTTCATTGGCTTTTAGATTTTGGATTTCGGCGAAATGCATATATACATATGATTGTGCAGTGATGTTATCTAGAGTCCACCCTAAGCTCCATGGCACACTAGCATTTTTAGGGACACGAGCAGTCTGCATCACGACTTGAGGCACCTCAAAGGTGTTACTTGTAAGGACCTGGAGGTCCGTGCTTATGGATTCGGTTTCATCATCTGAGTATGGATTCCAGACACGGTCATATAAGTCCTCATCATACCTGGACAGGAGCTGTGTTGGTTAACTCGAAAACACAGAACAAGAAGCAGAAAACTATCTATTACCTAACAAAACAAGATTTGTTATTTATTACCTGATTTTGGATGATGAACCAGATGAAAAGTATACTCTGTTGAAAAAATTTAACGAGCCGCCCTGCGTGACGTATGAGCCATTATTCAACGGACGAAGTTCCAGCGACGAAATGAACGGTGTCGTGTCTCCGGTCTTAACAAGACAAACTTGAAGACGGTCATGCGATAAGACATGGATAATCTCGTGCATTGTAGAATCTGTTACTCCTATTATTTTAACAGAGGTCCATTTGTTAGGACCAATGTAAAGATCAAAGATTGGAAGTCGATTTAGACCGTCATAATTCCCATAGTAAAAGGTTCCCCTGATCAGATATTTGCGATTCGCTGTGAGGGTAAAGCTGTAACAGTTTCTTTCACCCTCAGGGAAGCTTCTCAAGGCCCAAAGTTGTTGAGGAACCAGCGTCGTCTTTTGAGCATCATTGATCTTTCCGACCAATCCACTATCGATGTAATCCGCGTCTGATTTGTAAGAGATATTCGTCGTCTTCTCCACATAAGTTGTGTCTTTAGGCACCAACCCACAATCCAAGCTGATGAAACCTGTCCATGATCAAAACCACATATGTAACCAAAGAACACACTTTCAAAACAGAGTAATCAATAGCAGAGTAAACAAAAACAGAGTCTTGTATGTTCTCAAGAACCTGCTTGATTTTGAGCTTCGACTGATCTCAGAATGGTACAACCGATGATCAAAAGGAGCAAAAACCAATGAAGAGACTTCATTTTCTTGGATAGTTGGTCTGATTCAGAGGATGATATTATTCATTTTTAAGCAAAAACAATTAGTAATCATATTGGTCAACTTACTGTGTAAAACTTTGTGCTAAGTCTTTAACATTAGATTATTCAGCTGATTGTAACATTAGTACTCTTACTTGCCTACACATTCTTTCTGGTTTCAGGCGTGGAGGAGTACAATTTTTATAACCAAGATAAGAGTGAGGGAACAAAAACAATTTTAAATAGTAAACAAATTTCAATTTGCGTAAATATAATCCTACATTCTAAACAAAAAAAAATTGTAATGTACTTCACAAATGAATTAGTCACTCGTTTAGCTCCATCACAACGTGTGCCATTGTTGGTCTCCGGTTCGAAGACGGGCTCAGACAGGACATAGCCAGCTCCACAATCTTCCAAGCACCGTTTGTGTCATAATCCCCCATCAGTTTGGGGTCAACGATGTTCTTGATGTCTCATTTGGTAAGCATGAACCCAACCCATTCATTGATGTGAGGTCTCTCTCGGTTTTTATCAATCACAGGCTGGTTTGTGACTATCTCTAATAGTACTACACCGAAGCTGTAAACGTCACTCTTCTCGCTTAGCCAGTTAGTTCTGTAGTACCTGAAAAAAATATCAAAGTGATGTAATATATTCTTATTTCGGCCATAGCAACACAACTAAGAAACTTGATTAGTCTACTTACTCGGGGTCTAGGTAACCAGGTGTGCCTGCAACAACAGTCGACACATGATTTTCGCCATCGATTGGGAAAGATCTCGAGAGTCCAAAGTCGGCTAGTTTCGCTCCAGACCGCTCATTCAATAAGATGTTGGTAGTTTTCACATCTCTATGGACCATAGGAGGTCTACATCCATTGTGAAGATACTCCAATCCTGTTACAAATGGTTTTTGTTTTTGCATATTATAAACAGAACATCTTGAAGCTACATTTTCTTGTAATGAATCAGACAAAGGTAGAGAGAATAATTCGAGTTTTGTTCACCTTGTGCTGCTTCTACAGCTATTTGCATCCTGTTTTCCCAGGTTAGTACATTGCCTCCGCGTCTTCCTGTACCCGGTTTTGAATGTTTTAAACTGTCGAAGGAGATGGATTCGACTAAATCAGATTCGCTTAGTTAAAGTATTTACCTGACATATTCTCTCTCAAGTCTCCATTTGCCATGTATTCATAAATCAAAGCATCATCACAGTAACCCACAAGTCCAACCAAATGTCTATGGTGAACTCTTAAAAGAAGCTCCACCTGAGAAAGATATTAAAATCGCCATTTCATGATTTGAGAAATTGAAAGATTTTAACGGATTTTTTTCTTGCTAAAAGTACCTCTGCTTTGAACTCTTTATAGCCTTGAGCTGATGAATGAGAGAGCATTTTGACAGCTACTTGAGCACCATCGAAGGTTCCATGATACACTGTTCCAAAGCCTCCTTTACCAAGAACTCTCTCAAAGTGATTAGTCATTTTCACTATCTCGGGATACGTGATCTTGCGGTCCTTTGTTATGATTGATGTATTGGATGACCTTGTCTCACTATTAAACGTCCGAGTAGTAACTGATGGAACTGTTAAGTTGTGTAAAGCAGTAAAACCAATAGAGTAAAAAATATGACAAGTTTCATCCTCCTTAGATTTAAGATCCAAGTCTGGTGATCAAACCTTCAGTAGTATTCTGTTTTTTCCTTGTGATGACAAAGATGATAGCCACGATAACAAGCAGACCGAACACGCCAGCCACTGATGCTCCAATAGCAACCAAAGGAATACTTTTGCTCTCTTTTTTGGTTTCATTTATACTACATTAATCATTAAAAGATTTGTTGAAGATGAGTCTGGTATACTTTCCATGATTCGAAAAGGTTGAGATTGAATGCATTGAAGTATGAAAATCTTACATTAGTGTTAAAGATTTGTCATTTATCCTTTGTTGAAGAGAGTCTGGAACTGAGTGATTGAGTTTCGGATTTCCACTTAAGTTTCTGCAAGTGAAAAAAGACTGAATTTAGAACAGAACACAAAGAGCTCACAAGAACCGCGATATGAACGGCTATTTAGAAACTCACATGAGTTTCAACAACTTCATATCAGCAAAAAAGGCTGGAATCTCTCCTGATAAATCATTGTTTGATAAATCTCTGCGAATCAAAGAGAAAAAAGAAAAGATTTTGCGGAGTTATTGTCCTTCTCATACCACAATAAAACCATAACCGAATCATTTAAGTT